TCCCAATCATTGGTTTTGACATTTATTTATTTATTTCAGGTACTTGTATAGCGCCGTCAATTTATGCAGCACTTTACATATATATTGTACATTCACATCAGTCCCTAACCCTCAAGGGGCGTACAATCTAAGGTACACATTCTAGGGCCAATTTAGACAGGAGCCAATTAACCTACCAGCATGTCTTTGGAGTGTGGGAGGGATAGTGTCCCATGGTTGTATCAAAGGAAGATACAGTGCCCTATGGTTGGTATCAATGGAAGGAATAGTGCCCTGTGGTTGATATCAATGGGAGTAATAGTGCCCCATCAGTGGTTATAGTGGGAGGAATGGTGCCTCATCATTGGTGTCAATTGGAGGAATAGTGTACCAACAAGGGCTGGATAGAGGCAAGCAAAGGGCCCCAGTTTGGAGACCACTACACTAATACATGCATAGTCCATTATCTTGCCTCACAGTAATGCATACTTTACCACAACACACCACAAGAGATGAGCATAGCTGAGCTCCTAAATACAAAGCAACCAAGTAAACATATTGACTGACTCAATTCAGTAAGCTATCATTTTTATTATTTTACAAAAAATGTTATTTTCAATGACAAGTACCAATATATGAGGAAAATAATATCCACATGGCGGAGAACAACACTCACAATGGCATATAATACATCCGTTTCAGCTTAATAAAAGGAGCCAATGTCACAGAATGAGTGTTGTTGCAACAGAATAAGGTCTGGCAGTTTGCACTTCAAGTCAATGACATCTAACACTAAAGGATTAAATCACAAAGTCACATAAGAGGCTTGTGATCATTAGCCCTGGATCACTGGTTGGATTTGGAACTGGACTAATGAAAAGCATAGATCACCGACATAGGGAAGCAAGTAATGGCAAACAATCTCATGTGGGGAAAAAGAAGCTATTATCCTGCTCCTGTAGAGGGTAAGCCTCTATAGTTTGAAATAATAAAAATAAAACAACTCTTAGCAAAACAATGTACCAAAGAATAAGGCATGTCCTGTTGTGCATGAGTATAATGGTATTAGAACTGGAGATCAGTGACTTTATTTGGACAGCATTAATGAGTCCAAGCCCAGGACTGCATTGTTACTCAACTCAATTCATTCTCCTACAGTATACAGTTGTGACCAAAATTATTCAACCCCCACTGAAATTGAGTGTTTTGGCCAGTTTGACATTGCTTTTGATCATTCAGTCATCTTGCTTACATTTACATTAAAGAGGCACTTGTAGGTCAGACAAATATAACATAACAGTTATAATGAAATAACCACAAATGTCTTTTCTGTGCTCACAGCATTATCAGTTTTATTCAACCCCCAAGTGACATTCAATCTTAGTACTTAGTACAGCATCCTTTTACAGTTATAACAGCTTTTAAACGTGAAGCATAGCTTGACACAAGTGTCTTGCAGCGATCTACGGGTATCTTCGCCCATTCTTCATGGGCAAAGGCCTCCAGTTCAGTCACATTCTTAGGCTTGCGCACTGCAACTGCTTTCTTTAAGTCCCACCAGAGGTTCTCAATCGGATTTAAGTCTGGTGACTGCGATGGCCACTCCAAAATGTTCCAGCCTTTCCTCTGCAACCATGCTCTAGTGGACTTGGAGGTATGCTTGGGATCATTGTCCTGTTGAAAGGTCCAACGTCTCCCAAGCCTCAGGTGTGTGACGGACTGCATCACGTTTCCATCCAATATCTCCTGGTACTGAAGAGAATTCATGGTACCTTGCACACGCTGAAGCTTCCCTGTACCTGCAGAAGCAAAACAGCCCCAAAGCATGATTGACCCTCCACCATGCTTCACAGTAGGCAAGGTGTTCTTTTCATCATAGGCCTTGTTCTTCCTCCTCCAAACATAGCGTTGATCCATGGGCCCAAACAGTTCTAATTTTGTTTCATCAGTCCACAGAACACTATCCCACAACTTTTGTGGTTTGTCCACATGGCTTTTGGCATACTGCAGTCGACTCTTCTTATTCTTTGGAGACAGCAAGGGGGTACGCCTGGGAGTTCTGGCACGGAGGCCTTCATTACGCAGTGTGCGTCTTATTGTCTGGGCTGAAACTTCTGTACCCACATCTGACAAATCTTTTCTCAGTTCCTCAGCAGTCACACGGGGACTTCTCTCCACTCTACGCTTCAGGTAGCGCACAGCAGTCGAAGTCAGCATCTTCTTTCTGCCACGACCAGGTAGCGTTTCAACAGTGCCCTTTGCCTTGAATTTGCGAATGATGCTTCCTAAGGTGTCTCTTGGTATGTTTAACATCTTTGCAATCTTCTTATAGCCATTGCCCTTCCTGTGAAGAGAAATCACCTCTTCTCTTGTCTTCCTGGACCATTCTCTTGCCTTCACCATGTTTGTAACCACACCAGTAAATGTCTAGAAGGAGCTGAGTATCACAGTCATTTTAAAGCTGCCTAATTGGTGCTTATTATGCTTGATTGCTGCTCGGTGACATCCACAGGTGTTTTCAATACCTGATGGAAAGCACCTGTATGAACCTCTGTTCTTCAGAGTGGTAGTCTTTAAGGGGTTGAATAATTGTGGCAATGAAGAAACCACATAAGAACCATTTACTACTGTATTACATAAACAATTGATGTCATTTTAGTTGCATTTGGGTAGTTACAACGTCCTTGTAGGATTTGATTCTGAATACAATTCCAAATGTACACTATAGTCCCTAAACCCCTTTACAGCATTGGGGGTTGAATAATTTTGGTCACAACTGTATGTATAGCAAAAATGGAAGGAGGAAAGGAAGGAAGGAAGGAAGGAAGGGCTCTTGGCGCTTTGATGCCTTCTGATGCCCTTATGTCTGGCGATTGAAGCCCTGAGTTATCTTCTGGTGGCATGTTCAATTGGATTGGTTTTACTCATATTATGTATATGCTCCAGAATTGTATAATTATATTTAGATCTTATGCCATAATTATGCACAGAAATATAATTGTATATATTTGTTTATGCTTTTTTCCTCTTTTTTTCTTCTTTTGGATATTAGGTAATGCTGCATAGCATAACATTTGACCTATTTAGAGTTTTTCCTCCTGAGGAAGCTGGGGACAAGCCCTACAAAATGCGCAGAGAGACTTGATATTGTGAACACAAGCAAAAATACTTGCCAAGAGAAATCTAACTCCCTATATGGGAGGAATCTGGTCATCAGCACCAAAATATGGTTTATGAATATTAATTATAAGAGGAAATGTCTATGCAGCATAACATTTGTGCATTTTGGTTTATTGTATGGCCCATCATCGGTGACAAAATGCATTGGGTTGGGCTTACGGGAGTGACGTCATTATGTACTGCGACACAATTGGAAGATTATCAAGCAGCCCACGGAAACACTGTTTATGCCTACATGTGATGTGCTGTTTGGCTGGTATTTGCCACTACGAGATGTGAGTACATTAATTTGATTTTATTAATAAAGTATTGTTTATGGATTTACACTATGGGCTGGGCAGTTTTTTTGCTTTTGAGAGCTATTGAGGGACAATGGTGGATCCTGAGTTTGATAGTTCTTTGGCAAGAGGGTGGCCGGAACAACCCCCAAAAGCACTGTTTGACTGTTTGCTTTATTAGCAATGGTCTATGGTATCCAGTAAGGTGCTGACTTCTCCACTTTTTACTGTCAACGAGTGGTTTTTGTAAAAGATTCTTCAGCACTGCACTTCTTTTGGAGGACTCTTTGGACCTACTTCAATTATTTCATGTTTGTTTGAGAATATATATTTGTTGTGTTAGTACTGTATGACTCTATGCATTAATTATAAGATATTATGATTTTCTCACAAACACTTTACTTCACTATTTTAGTTTTTGGATTTAGCGCCACATCATTATTTATTATTTACTGTTTGTTATTTTAGGCTTAGCATCACAAGTCTTTTGAGTGTTGGCGGCTTTACTAGGAGGTGGTTGCTATTTCTTAAAGTGCAGAGGTTTCTCTCACAAAATGCTGCAGCAGGAATTACTGTAGGAAAGCCCCCTGTTGCTTTTGGTGGGTGCTATCGCCTACCAATTGTGACCCATTCAAGTTAATAGAATTACTCTGCAAGATCCCCATAACTGCATGATTTTGCATGTTCTAAGGAGATAAAGCAAGTGGTGAGAAAGCAACACAACGCTACCTGCTTTAACCCCTTGTTTGCTGTACTGCACAAGGTTGCAGGGCACTTGCAGAGAGGCCTCATTCACTTAAAAGGGTCATGCTTGGCAGGTGCTACAAACACCAATCATGACAGGGAATATAACTCCTGCTGCAGCTGTGACATGTGTACACCCCTGGCCACAGCAGCTAAAGGGGGTGTGGATGTGGGTTGGGTGGGGGTGGTAAAAACACATCTTAAATAGGGGGTTCAAATGTAAATGAACCCTTTCTGTTGGATTCAGGAGTTTTGGTACACTCTCAGAAAGTGCACCAAACCCACAGGATATAATAGAAGTCTATGGCTAAGTGCAGCAAACCCACAGGAAAGCTGAAGGTACACTGCACTGCACCCGTGGTGTGGGTGAACCGCAGCACATCAGTGTGAAAGCAGTGCTATACTATTATGCCCACTGCATTGCTTCACACTGACCTGAAGATCTCTTCTTTCCTGCTGCTGGCACCACTCTGGAGACCGCTAGCCGGGATAAGAGGTGGAGTGCGGTTGGTATCATTCTGCATGGAACAGGAGTCGGCACTACAGAGGAGACTTCAGCTTATAAGGCCCTTGCTCCCTACTACAGCTCCAACTTTATGAGTAGTCCCTCTACATTGCACTCTGTTTGATGCTGTGGGATGGCGGGTTAGCAAGTCCAGACCGCACTCTACCAGCCACTTGGCCAAGATCACCTGGTATATAGCAATCTATGGGTTACTGACTCCTGACCTAAACATAATCCTTATTTTCCAAAGATAATCCATGCTTATCCATTACCTAATAGCTCTGTAATCCGTATTTTATTGAAGTGTTACTAAACCCAGGACCCTGCATTCACTATATCTGGTCTCCCACAGTACACAGAACATGGAAATGCAATTATGTTAGTAAATATAAACTGCTAATTACCTTTTCTCATCAGCAGTTGGAGCAGTCTTGTGACTTCTATCAGTGTTCAGCAGAGCACTGGTTAAAGCTTGTAGGAGGAGTTTTTATTTTCTCTAGGAGGATGGAAAACTCCTGACCTCTGTCTGGACAGTGATGATTGGCTCTGTGCTGATCACAAGCACTCTCCTAAGAAAAAAAAAAACAACTCTAGCAATATACACCAAACTGAGCATGTGCAGAGTGACTCCACACGATATGTCTAAGGGGAGGATCAGAGAAGTCAGGATGAAACAGCCTTTTTATACAATACAGATGATTAACCCATTAACTTCCACAGTGAGTATAACAAGCATGCTTTACTGCACATACAGACTGATTTTACTGATGTGGATTTAGTAACACTTTAAATTGTGTCTTCCTGTGTTTTTCTGCCTCCTTGTAACATCCTACATGAGCTCCTAAAGCTCTCCGTTTCCCCCTCATTTCCATTTGTTTGGAACGAGCAGTGCGCATTAGTTATGGTCAGGTGTACTGCTCTACAACACTGCAAATCTTATAGCCCATAGTCCCTAATCCACCTCAGAAGCGAGCAAAAGAGGATGCTTACATTTCTACAAACAGTGGGACCATGGAGAAAGAACGTAGCTGCCCTCTAACAGAAAGAAAGATCACAGCAACAGAAAAAAAAACAAATAATAGGAGGCTGAAAACAACAGAAGGAACTTTCCTGAGTTATGGAGTTAGACATGAGATGACACAGGAAGTGTGCACAAGACAAGTTCTGCTTTTCTAAATGCCCCCACCTGATAAAAATACTTATTCAAGGCTAAGAGTAGTCTAGCAGGCAGTCATGAAGGCAAGTAGTCATGAAGGCTTCAAGGCTTAGCAGCCCTTTGAAACTTATGGTTTCCCCTCCTCCAGAGGAAGAATCACAGGTTCCCCTACATCCAGAGGAATAATCACACTTTCTCTACCTCCAAAGGAAGAACTCGTCTGAACAGGTTCCAGCCTATTAAACCCCCACCCCTCTTCTGAGCACCTACTGGGAAGTGTGCACAAGACAAAGGATAGCTCTAAATCTCTGATATTATCACCAGTTTTTTTTTTTCATTCACTTTCAAGAACCTAAAAACAGAACTTGAATAAAAATGCTAGTTCTGCTTTTCTAAATGCCCCCCACCTGATAAAAAAATACTTATTCAAGGCTAAGAGTAGTCTAGCAGGCAATCATGAAGGCAGGCAGTCATGAAGGCTTCAAGGCTTAGCAGGCCTTTGAAACGTATGGTTTCCCTACCTCCAGTGGAAGAATCACAGGTTCCCCTACATCCAGAGGAGGAATCACACACTGCTCTGCCTATTTCCACCCCCCCCCCCCCCCCTCTTCTGAGCACCTACTGGGAAGTGTGCACAAGACAGTTTAATTTGGAGTTTGATGTTCTGCTTGGTGTTCTGCTTTAAAGTGGTTGTAAAGGCTGAAAGTTTTTTACCTTCATGCATTCTATGCATGAAGGTGGAAAAACCTTCCAGTGTGGCATCCTCCCCAGCCCCCCTAATATTTACCTAAGCCCCCTCTCGATCCAACGATGTGCACTGAAGTCTTGGCTATCCTGGGACTCCCTCTCCTCATTGGCTGAGAAAACAGCAGGATCCATTGAGAGAGGGGGCAGGGCTGATCCACGGCTTCATGTGAGAATGGACACACGGAGCAGCGGCTGGGGAGTTTGCATGCTCGGGTGCCCCCATAGCAAGCTGTTTACTGTGGGGGCACCCAAAAGAGTGAGGGGCCAGGACCCGAGAAGAGGAGGATCTGGGCTGCTCTGTGCAAAGGCACTGCACAGAACAGGTAAGTATAACATGTTTGTTTTTTGTTTTTTTAAATCTAAGCCTTTAGAATCACGTTATAGATTGAAATAACTATTATCTCATCTTATTTTGATTAACATTGTTTAAAAAAGATCAGCTAATGGCAAGTCACATGGAGACTCAAAGCAACAGTGACCTGACCAGGTTCAAAAACATAGACTAAAAAAAGTTTGCTACTTCTATTGAAAAAAACAACAAACTAAAACCAGGAAAACAGCAGACAAATAGCATGTGGCGTGAAGATCATGGGGTGGTGGAGTCCTTTCTTCTTGGACAATTCATCTTCTGCTTCACATGTATCAATCCCCCCTGATGGTATTGCCAAATGTTAGCACAATATTCCGCGGCAAAGGAACAGCAATGTTCAGTTCGTTTTTCAGAAATATTCAAATGCACATTTTCCAAGTCATCATTTGCCATTTAGGCAGAAGATGTACTTTATAGTACTGTGCATTTGCATAGCACTATCTCAACATCTCAGTGAGGAGCCTCTGTTCTAAAGTGTAAATAAAATACTTTATTTGCAGCTGAAAAGCAACAGCCGGTAATTATGGGCTCTCTATCAACTGCTTTTACTGCTGTTAATATGTGTTTGAATTAAAAACAAGAAAAAAATTAATGAAATGCGTCAAAACACAAATCTGCATTTACAGATTTTCAGAAAGCAAACTAAGTAGATTTTGGCAGTCTAACTAAACAAGATGTTTTAGCTGTGTCTGGATGCTAGGGGTGCTGTGTTATCAGAAGGATTGTATTGTGATTATAGTGTGATAACCACTAAAATTTTCATCCATATCTATAAAATCTAATAAAGTGCAAAAAACATTTAGCATATCAATATTTTTGTTTAGGAATGTGGGATAAACTTTTGGTTACTCAATGAGAAATAACTACATAAAAATAAGAAACTGGTAAGCAGGGGTGTACTGACCATTCTGGAACTCGGGCAGTGCCCGAGGGCCCGGGGTCAGTAGGCCCCATGAGATGCCCGTGGTACCTTTTCATAGGATTTTTTGGGTGTGGTTTTAGGATACAGGGACCCCATGATCCCCTATTGCCCGGGGGCCCCATGAGTTGTCAGTCCGCCCCTGCTGGTAAGATTTTAACCACTTGAGGACCAGGCCTATTCTGACACTTTTTGCTTACAAGTAAAAATCAGTATTTTTTTTTTTTGCAGTGGCCCTACAGAATAAGTGGTAGTCATTGCAATTTTTTTGTCACATGGTATTTGTGCAGCTGTTTTTCAAATGCAATTTTTTTTGGTAAAAAATAAAAAAAAAAAAAACAATATATAACCCAATTTTTTGGAAAATATGAAAGATAATGTTACGCCGAGTAAATTGATACCTAACATGTCATGCTTTAAAATTGTGTAGCTCTTGGAATGGTGCCAAACTATACACTTAAAAATCTCCATAGGCAACACTTTAACATTTTTTACAGGTTACTATTTAGAGTTACAGAGGAGGTCTAGTGCTAGAACTATTGCTCTCGCTATAACCTTCGCCTTGATACCTCACATGTGTGGTGCAGCGGCCCTAGAGAATAAAATGGTAGTCGTTGCAAATTTTTGTCACATGATATTTGCGCAGCGGTTTTTCAAAAGCAATTTTTTGGAGAAAAAATATACTTTAATACATTTTTAAAAAACACAATACAACACCCCATTTTTTATAAAATATGAAAGATAATGTTACGCCGGGTAAATAGATACCTAACATATCATGCTTTAAAATTGTGTAGCTCTTGGAGTGGTGCCAAACTGGCACTTAAAAATCTCCATAGGCAACACTTTTTTTTACAGGTTACCATTTAGAGTTACAGAGGAGGTATAGAGCTAGAACTATTGCTCTCGCTATAACCTTCGCAGTGATACCTCACATGTGTGGTGCAAACACCTACGTAGCTTGACCTACGTATGCGTCACCACTGTGGGTGATAATGGGTAGACAGCGGCGCTTTAAACTTTTTTTTTAGTATTTATTATATTACTTTTTTATTTTTACACTGTCCATTTAATATTTTTTGTTGTCACTTTTACTGCTGTCACAAGAAATTTAAAACATCCACTGTGATAACAATAAAGCATGACAGGTCCTCTTTATGGAGAGATCTGGGGACAATAAGACCCCACATATCTCCTCTACAATGGAAAGTATCAGATCAAAAAAAAAAAAAACACTGGCCCAATGCTTTCCAAAAAAAAAAAAAAAAAATTGCCTTGTTTACATCAGCCATAAACTGGAAGTGACATGTTGCTCCCATCCTCCTAGGTCATAGAGATGAGCGGAGGCCATCTTTCCTCTGCTAATCTCTATGACCAGCTGCTGCAACTGCCGGATCGGTTCAAGGGCTTTCCGATGAGCTAGGTAAGCCACAGAGCCACCATAAATCAGCACGAGGGGGGTGCAACCCCTCTTCCTGTTTCTAAAAGTGATCCACTGGCTAATCAGCTGCATGGATCACTTTTATCAGAAAGAGCAGCGGCTGCAGAACATTTTATTACTGGGGTTTGTGGTATCTAGCTGCAGCCATAACCACGGTATACCACTATAAAACATTTTTACCAGTTAGGCGGTCAGCAGGGATTTTTACATATATATCCCCAAAAAGTAAAATATGTTAGCTTACCAGTTTTATAATGGCTACAATAATTTTCTTTTTTTTCAAGACAAGTACATTTTCAGCAAGTACAGAAAAATATTTGTTGATCTTTTCAGATATTCAATCTCCATATCACTTTCTGTGAGATGAGAAGATAGCAAAAAAAAAAATAATTTCCTTTTTAAACTACTGATCCCATTAACTACCATTTAAAAATAGTCAACAAAGGTTTGAAGTCCAATTGTGTTGTGTCATTCCTCCCACACCTGACCATACATTGTCCAGCATACCAAAAAAAAAAAAAAAAAAAAAGAAAATCTAAAATATTTACTAAGATCAATAGCAAAGTATGCAGTAATTCATTCATATCGGATCCCTATGTATTTTGGGAGGACCATACGAGGGTCTCCATGCTATTTAGAAAAAAAAAATTCATAAGGGAAATTTGAATTACTGAATTTTTTTTTCTTTCTAAACAATGACTTTTGTTGTAAAAAAAAA